CATCAAAGAAAAAATTTATACGGAGATTCTACTAGAATTCATGGGAGATATATGAGAAAATAAAGTGTAAGACTACAAAATGTACTTTATAAACTCAAACGGTCACCCATAGCATAGTTCGAAAGGTTTATAAAGGTACTATTGGTAATGGGGTATAAGCAGAGTTAGAGGAGACTATACTCTGTTCATCAAGCACTCAAACTTAGGGGGAGTTGCATTTTCCTAGTATATATTGATGATATCATTGTGACATGTGATGATGATAAGGAGAATTGATGCTCAAGTAATGCATGGTGTAAGAATTTGAGATTAAAGAATCGGACAAACTAAAATGTTTCCTTGGAATTGAAGTCACTAAGTCAAAAGTTAGAATTTTCATCTAACAACAGAAGTATATCATAATCTACTGAAGATTATAGGTAAACTGACATGTAAACTTGTTAGCAAACCAATTGATCTTAACCACAAAAAAGTATTAGCAGAGGAATAACACAGAAGTCAACAAAATGTAACAGAGGCTGGTTGAAAGACTGATTTATCTATCTTGCACAAGACCATACATTGCCTACACAGTAAGTGTGATAAATTAATTTATGCACAATCCCGAAAAAGTGTATTAACTGGCAGCATACCTGGTGCTATATTAGCTGAAAAGAGTACCATGAAAGGATATCATGTTAAAGATGATAACATATTACTTTTTAAAGCCTGAAAGGATATCATGTTAAAGATGACAACATATTACTTTTTAAAACCTGCATTGCTGTCAACTATATTGGATCGCTAGTTAAAAAAAAAAATCCACTAGCGGCTATTCTCCCTTTCTTGGAAGAAATTTAATCACATGAAAAAGGAAGAAACTAAATGTGATAGAAGATCTAATGCATAATCAGAATTTCAGGCAATAGCTCAAAGAATATGTAAGTTGCTATAGAAACCTTTAGGATCAAGTGGAATAGTCTCATTATGACAACGAATTGACAATCGACATCGCTCATAACTTAGTGTAGCTGATAGTACAAAACAAATCGAAATTGATAGACACTTTATCAAAGAGAAATTGAAATGTAACTTGATGTGTACATCTTACATGCCCTAATCCAGTCTTCCATACAATCATTGCTAAGAGGATAATGTTTATTCACCAATTTGAGGGGAGTGTTGGAAAGTATTAATAGTAAAATTCCAGTATATAATTAACTGTAAAATTTTTACATTCAATAAAAAATAAATAAATATTTAATTAATTGTAAAATTTCCTTTTTATACTCAAGAATTTGTATTCATATGACCTCATCATTCAATATTAAACACATGATTCCATTCTTCCACACTACTATTGTGCCTTCTCTTAACTCTAGCACCTCTCTTGACAATACTACCAAGCCATCATGACTCTTCTTAGATTGAATTTAAGGTATGTGCTTTTTACCTTATTGTGTCAACTTCATATGTTGATGCTAATCTTGTAAATTCAGAAAATGCCACCTTGAATCCATAAATTATTGATCAAGGAAGGAGATACCCCCTTCGTGAATGTAAAAAACCTAATAGGTTTTGTCTTTTCAGATCTTCTATGTTGTTTATCAAATCTCTGATTTTGTCTTATCATTGTCGATCTAAGACTCAACTAGCTTTTGCCCTTTAGTTGTCTTATACGTCTATTCCTAGTCATTTTCAGGAAGCTTTTGAAGATCCTAAGTGGAAAATTGTAATGGTAGAATGAAATGAAGCTCTCAAAAAGAACTATACTTGGGAAATGTTTGACTTGCCTTTGGGAAAACACTGATGCAAGTTCGTGTTCAGAGTGAAGTATAAGTTAGATGGGGCAGTTGAGAGAACCTGATCGAGTGGTTGCAAACGGTTATATTCAAACTTATGTCATTGACTATCAAGAGACTTTTTTCCTATGGCCAAGATGAATATTGTCCCGGTTATACCATGACTTTCAGTTATTTTGATTTGTCACCGCAGCAGTTTGATGTAAAAAATATTTTTCTTAACAGTAATCTGACAAAAAAGATTTTTGTGAATCCTCTTGTAGGGTTTAAACTAGAAGGAGGTAAAGTATGCAAATTGAAAGAGGTGTTATATGGATTGAAACAATCACCAATTACATGGTTTGACAGGTTGAATCATGAAATGAGGGAGCATAGGTTTAAGCAAGCTTTTGTAGATCACACTTTGTTCTATAAAAGGTATTGTGATGATATCACCTTACTCATTGTTTATATTGATGATATAGTTATTACTAGTAATAATAGTGGTGAGGTAGAGAAGCTTTGGAGCATTTGACTAAGGAATTCGAGATGGAAGGACTTGGGACTTCAGAATACTTCTTGAGTATTGAAGTTTGTTGATCTAAGCAATGACTTTTCTTTTACCAATGGAAATATACATTGGATCTTTTGGTTGAAATTGGTAATTCAGTTTGTGAACCTATAGGTTCTCCCAGTGAGGTGAATCATAGCTTGTCTATCTATCCTGATCAAGTTTCAACAAACAAGGAGGGATGTTATATAATATTCGGGAACTTATTTTATCTAACCCACACTAGACCTCATTTAACATATGTAATTAGTGTTATGAGTTAATTTATGCACACTTTTGAGTGACCGATATGTGAATGTTGTAAATCGTAACTTGGCATATCTGAAGTGCTCTTCAGGTGAAGGTGTTATGTTCTCCAAAGCATGAACATTTAGATATTGTGTTTAATACAGACTCTGAAATTGCCGGTAGCAGAGTGGATAGAAGTCTACTTTAAAACATTTATCATTTTTTGGAGGTAATTCTGTGACTTGAATGAGTAAGAACCAAAATGTGATATGGTTATCTAGTGAAGGAGCTAAATATTGTGCCTTGCATCATGCAATCACAGGACTCACTTTGCTAAAAATTTAGTGCAACTCGATCGAACTAAACATGTTGAACTTAACGGGAACTACGATTAAGACAACTTGGTACATCAGAGATTCCTCATATTAAAAGTGTAGATCAGCAAGCTGATACGATGACTTATGCTGTTACTAATAGCCTTTCCTATGCATCATTGTCCAAGTTGTGCATGTGCGATATCTATCCAACTTCTAGGGGAGAGTTAGCGTGGACATTGTTGTATATTTTTTTTTTTTGAGATAAAAATTAGAAAATGCATTAAAAAGTGGCACCAAGGGGATATTGCCCATTTATAAAAGATCTACATATCAATGAGTATATCGACAACAGCTCTCACATCATCAAAAGATAAGAGACTGTGTCCCAAAAATATGAATCCAAAACAATGTATCCATCTATTCTTGATATTTGTAAGAGTATCTTCAATGTCTTCAAAAGTCCTATTGTTTATTTCTTTCTAAATAAGCCAAAAGATTGTTAAAGGAATTAGCCGAGTCGCATAATTGTTAGAAACTAAACCCTCCAAAGCCAAAATCTCATTATAAACAGAGTTGGCCACAACCCAATTAATGCGAATCAAACTATAGACCATGTGCCACAGATTAGCCGTAAAAAGGCACCAAAGAAGAATATGATTGCAACTCTCAACATCATTTTTGCAAAGGAAACATCTGTTGACCAAATTTTTTCCTCTTTTTATCAAATGATCCAACATCAGGATCTTCTCTTTAACAGCTTCCTAAACAAAGAATGCAATCCTGGGGGGGAGCAGTAGCTTTCCATATGACTTTGTAAGGGAAATATGCAGCTGATATAGTATTTATCCGGCCATTGCTAAATGACAGCTTATTGAAAAAAGACCGAATGGAGAATTTTCCATTTTTCTGCAGTTTCCAAATTAGATCTATTCACAATTTGGATTCCAGCTATTAGATGCAAGAACTGATCGAATTCTTCCAATTCCCAGTCATTTAAGTTGCAATTGACAGCAACATTACAAAGACCCGAGGCATCAAAGGCCTCACTAACTAGAAGATTTTTGCATTGTGCAATGGAGTAAATAGTTGGCAAGACAGACTTAAGGCTGTATTCAATACACCAAGTGTCATTCCAGAAATTAACCCTATCACCATTACCAAATTTCCAGTAAGTATTCATCATCACCACATTGTAGGTGACAAGAATCCCTTTCCAAGCACTGGTGCCATGAGTTCTAGTCGGGAAGATAAATCTGCCATTGTCGTCATATTTCATCCATTTTATATCCACAATATTCCTCCATTGACTGTTGATTTCGTTAAAGTATCTCCCAAATCCATTTTCCGTGCAATGCCTTTTTGATAGTT